GTGAGAGAGTGAGAGTGTGAGAGAGTGAGAGTGTGAGAGAGTGAGAGAGAGTGTGTGCACGTGTGTGTATGTGAGAGAGAGAGAGAGAGAGAGAGAGAGAGTGAGTGAGTGAGTGAGCACGTGTGTGTGTATAACTTCTGTGAAATTTCTATCTTTACAGCTTATTAAATTTGAAGCTTTGACTCAGCCATTGGCTACATTGCCTCACATGGAATCGTGTTCCCTTATCCAGACACCACCTATGTTTAGGTTCAGGAAAAGAATATCTCAATTGTAACTGTTAGAACTTTGGTCAGGAGCCAAAGCCAGAGGCCGTGTGTTACTTCTGTATTATGTTAGTGGGAGTGGTTGGTGCAGGTCACAGATCTTCCTGCACTAGCCTGAAGCCCCCATATGTTGATCTTCAGGCACTTCTTCCAGGAGTAGTTGCTGTGCAGTGAACAGGAACCCTTGAAGGTCCCTGATGCCCAACTCCCCACATCACCACCACCCTCCTTGCCCAGAACCAGTGAACCTAAGTCAGAGAGCCAGTAACTTCGCAAGCTCTGGCTGCAGTTAGGAGATGGCGGTTTTACCTGTGACCTTCCTATACTGCATCTACTTAATGGACAACCCCACTGGGACATCCCTGTTCGCTTAACATTTACCTATCCTAACTAAAATAATCATCCGTATCCTTCTACAGTCTGACAAAACCAGCTTTGATAAACCATTTTCTTCGCCTACTTATTTTGTCCTATTTCATTCTACATTATGAAAAAATACTGTAAAATCATGTAACAAAACATGTATCTCTTAAAAGGCAGAATATCTTAGGTTGGCAAGGTTATCCTGATTCAGGAAGATCTGCTCAACAACAACTAAATACTTTCACAGTTTATCCAGACAACAGCGAGGAAATCTGTTCTTGAGGTAAGACTACTTTTGTACATCTTACAAAGTTAAGACAAAGCGTGCTGAGTTAATAAGCACAGCTAAAAATACCAAAACTTGATAAATATACATTAGGAAATCAGGTGAATCTAATTATGCGTAAGGTTTCAAACCTGATAGACATTTTCCTGTTGGTCTTTGAAATATGCTCATGGATCACTGCTTGTTTCTCATCGTGAGCAGTGTGAAGCAAGTAAAAGATAGCAGCAAAATCCTGGAGAGCTCCCCCTCTATTTAATCAACTCAAGATATCGGATTATGATTTCAACAGAACTTCTATCAGAACGCCCCTGTTGGCAATGGGCAGAATATCTCTGTTATCAGATTTCGCAAACAACAAGGTTTGATTTAAATCTGATGAGTGACAGGATAAAACCGTATTCAAGCTATTAAATAAATTGATGTCAAAGGGCCAACTGAAGAAAAAAAACGCATTTGCATAGGATACCCAAAACACTCTCTTATCACACAGTAATAATTGTGATCGTTCTGCATTCTTACTTGTTGAATCTGACTGCCATTTGTATGGTATCAGGTGATCCATTATCTCCAGGCAATTGTTCAGATTTTTCTTGACATTTTGTGTTTAATATGTCCCTCTTTGCTTCCATGCAAGCCGTGGCTTCTTTATAAAACACATCCATTTCAAAAGCCTCACTGCGTATAAGATGAATGCAACAACAACTGTTACCAAATGTCAGCCCCAGAAACGGAACCAGATTTAACAAGTTACATTTCAGATGTTCTTAACCCTAACTTGGCAGATTTTGTACCAATAACCGAGGGGGCAGGGGGAGATCATAAGCCAAGTGTTTTTATATTTTTGTGTAACCATATCAGTCCAATGACAGTTGTTAGCAACGGTACTGCACTCCAGGTTTAAGACAAATAGTCTCGGGGCATTGCTCTGGCCTTCACACCTGATAATTGTGAGTTCAAGCCCTGCTCCAGGGCTGGAGTAATCGGAAATGAGGAATGACAGGATTAAGAGTAGTTCCTCATATCTGGAAAATAACTCATGCAGGACGAGGATGCGTTATCATCCAACGAGAAGCCAACATCGAGGAATGAGGTTCTGCCGAGGGAGCTTGAGAAGGCGGGGTCCAAATTAACAAGAAGAACCTTAAAGACAATGACTTGGTTAGTAATCCCGAGGTTACATGAAATTTGGCGCAGGGCTAAATAAATCACGGCTGAATACGTGGCTCAGACAATGTGTAAGACAGGGATGATAATTCGGGGGGCTATAGCACCAGTAATCAGGAAAGCTGCAACTGTTGCATTGGGTCAGGCTCCACTTAAACTAATTTGGGATTAGAGTCCTGATTAAGTAAATGACAGGGCTTCAAAATATAAAAAAAAGTCGTGTGTGTTTGGCGGGGGGGTGGGGGAGGGAGATAGGTGAAGGATCAAATGAGTGGTTATTTATAAATGTCAAGAGAAAATTCAAGGTCACTGAGCAGCAAAACAATTTGGATAAAGATAGGCAGATTATCACAGGAAACAGCAGAGATTAACAGAGACGGAGTTCCAGTGAGTAAAACTAAATCGGGAGCAAAGGATGATAAAAAGTTTAAGTTAACAGCGTTTTATTTCGGTGGACAAAACAGTTGTAATGCTGGCATAAAGATAAATCCATCTGGTGGCATTAGAGAGATGTAGCAGAATGGGAAACATCACTGAGACTGAAATATTCTGGTAATGTAGCAAAAAAACGAATACAAAAGACTGAAGGCAGTGGGAGAGGGATAGTCCTAACAGTAAAGCCTGACAACATGGCAGTAGTAAGGAAGGATGGTGGCTCAGAGAAACAGGATGTAGAATCAATCATAGAATCCCTACAGTGTGGCAACAGGCGCTTCAGCCCGACAAGTCCATACCAACCTACAGAGCATCCCACCCAGAACCACCCCCCTATAATCCCCCTAATCTATACATTTCTGAACACTATGGGCAATTTAGCATGGTCAATCCACATAACCTGCACATCTTTGGACTGTGGGAGGAAACTGGAGCACCAGAAGGAAATCCACGCAGACACGGGGAGAACGCGCAAACTCCACACAGACAGTCACCCGAGGGTGGAATTGAACCTGGGTCCCTGGCGCTGTGAGGCAGCAGTGCTAACCACTGAGCCACCATGCCGCCCCTCAATGCGAGGAAGTAAATGATACGGGGCAGAAAACACAGTCCTTACACTTTGGCTACAAGAGCAGGTCAGAGGCTAGGAATCCTGCAACATGTAACTAACCTCCTGACTCTTCAAAGCCTGTCCGACATCTACAAAGCACCAAGTAAGGAGCGTGATGGCGTACTCCCTACTTGACTGGACAAGTTCAGCTCCAAGAACACTCAAGAAGCGCGACACTATCCAGATGAAGCAGCCAACTGGAATGGCACCATATCTCAAATATTCACTCCCTCCACTACTGATGCAAGGTAATAGCAGCAGCGTGTACCACCTACAAGGTGCATTGCAGAAATTCACCAAGGTTCCTTGCTGTTCTTAAACTGTATCGTCCAAACCCATGGCCACTACTGTTTAGAAGGACTAGGGCAGCATATACATTGTAACACCAACACCTGCAAGTTACCCTCCAAGCCTCCAAGTTACCACCCTGACTTGGGAATATATCACTGTTCTTGCACTGTCAACTAGATCAAAATCCTGGAACGTCCTCCCTAACAAAACTGTGGGCCTATCTACATCACTCAAGAAGGCAGCTCAGGGCAATTAATAAATTAGCAATTAGCTTTAATCAGTCACAGGAGCTTGTAACAAAGCAACATTTTCAAAATTCATTCTTGTGGAATGTGGGCATTACTGGCAACATTTACTGTTCATATTTTGATGCCCTCAAACTCGTTGTCTCTTTATCCCATTTCAGAGGGCAGTTAAGGGCCAGACGAGGCAAGGTTGGCAACTTGCCTTCCTTGTGGCAATTTCTGTAATCTAAAGTTTTCCTCCTCACTATTCATCATATACCACCAACTCTCGTGTCATCTGTACACTTACTGATCGTACCTCCCCCATTCATGCCTAGATTGTAAATGTACACAACAAACAGCAAGGGGCCTGACACTGAATCCTGGGCAACGCCACTAGACACAGGCTTCCAAGCCACAAAAACATCTTTTGACCATCACCCTCTGCTTTCTTCTATTAAGCCAATTTTGGATCCAATTTGCCAAATAGGCTTATAAGCTTTGGGATTTAGAAGAATGAGAGTGATTTCACTGAAACGCAAAAGATTCTGTGAAGGTTTAACAGGGCAGACTTGGAGAGCTGACATTCCCCATTTGTGGAGTCACAACAAACGGACATAGTCTCAACATAAGGGGAGACTCTGCAGTTGTTGATTTTATTGCTGTTTGTGGGCCTACTCTGTGTGCAAACTGACAGGTGCATTTCTCTGTATATCAACAGAGACTATATTTCAAAGGCAAAGCATTGGCTTGCAAGCTACTTGTCGACATCTGAAGAATGTACTGTGTTATCTCAGTGCAACTTGCTCCAGCAGAAAATGCTCTCTTCAGACCGAAACTCAGATTGGAAGGACAAAAATGTATGTTTTTTTTGGTGTTTTATTCCAGTTAGAATGGAACTTAAGGAGGATTACATCTGTATTTGCTGTCTCAGCAGGAAAACGTCCAAATTGGAAATTCAGATGTAAATTGCCTGCAATTTGCTATCTCCAAAGAGGAAGATTATGGGCAGTGCTCCTGCTGGGACATTTACTGGCAGCGCAAGCTCCAACAAAATGTGTCATAATTCATATCACAGTCTTGTCAAATGTGCAGTTATTTATTTAGGTTTCTGCAGTAGGATGGGAAAGTCTTTTTAGTGTGTGTCATAAACTGAATGAAAACTTTAAAAATGAGCAATTCCAATTTATTTTCTTTGGACTTACTGATTCCTTTAATTTTACCTGATAGAACTGCAACTTAGGCCCTTAGCAAAATCAAAACGTAACTATCTAGAGTTCTCCAGAAAATTTCAAGGATGATTAAAATTCCACTTTTTCCCCTCATTGCTGACATTGCTTGATGGATTTGAAAATAAAACTAGTGGATGCAATAGCGCAGCACGGAACACACCTGAGTTAAATATAATGTAGTCAGTAGATGGTATATCACTGGAAAATGAGTTTTCCATTAGCGGAGTTTTTAAACAATTTTTAGCTTGTCTTGTTATAAGACTTTTGAAGCTTTAGTGAAATATCTCAAGGTTTCCTCAAACCTTCCAATACGATCATTTGGTTACATCTTAGGTCAACATTTAAAACTATCCATTGAAACATTTCATCTGGAAATTGTGTGTGTAAACCGTTGCCTGTTACACTGCCGTTACAAGGTCTGGTCAGTCTTGATGTTAAACAACAAGCATTTAATACTCCCTCCCACTGGAGAAATAGGAGCAGGAGTAGGCCATCGAGCCTGCTCCACCATTCAATAAGATCATGGCTGATCTTTTTGTGGACTCAGCTCTACTTACCTGCCTGCTCACCATAACCCTCAATTCCTTCACTGTTCAAAAACCCACCTGTCTTTGTCTTAAAAACATTCAATAAGGTAGCCTCAACTGCTTCACTGGGCAGGGAATTCCACAGATTCACAATCCTCTGGGTGAAGAAGCTCCTCCTCAGCACAGTCCTAAATCTGCTCCCCCTTATTTTAAGGCTATACCCCCTGGTTCTAATTTCACCTGTCAATGGAAACAACCTCTCTGATTCTATCTTATCTAATCCCTTCATAATCTTATATGTTTCCATTAGACCCCAGCCTGCATTCTTCTAAATTACTGTGAGTATAGTCTCAGTCCACTCAAACTCTCCTCATAAGCCAACCCTCTCAATTCCAGAATCAACTGAGTAAATGTCCTAAATTTCTCGTTAACCTCACACAGCTTAGCATCCACTCAGCAACAAGAAAGATCTCTCTGCTAACGCTTTTTAAAGAAATCATCAACTACTGCTAAGCTGGTAGAAGATTGATGTTTACCAATTGTTGCCGAGTTCGTAGGCAGTTTATTTTATGAAAAGTTGGTGGTGTCAACAGGGAGAGATATGGCATGTGGTAAAGACCACAAAGACCACTGCAAAGCCCGCTAAAGACCACTTACTGCCAGTTAACATTCTCCTCAGAGAAAGCAAAGAGAGATTTGATAGAAGGTTTCAATGTGAAAATAAAATTCACACAGTGAGTAGTTGTGGTGTAGAAGGCACAGTCTGGAAGTGTAGCGCAGGCAGGTCCAAAGGGCACTGGATCATTATTTGAACAGAAACAATGTACAAGACAGGAAAATGGCATCAAGTCCATCATCAGTCTCATTTAGAGAGTCGATGCAGGAATCACAGGCTGTACCATAACAGTTTATTGATTCCTTACGGCCTGTTGCATGTACAGAGACTGAATCGAAGCAACACAGAAGAAAAACTGCTCTCTCTGACCCTTATAAGGGCAGACGGGCTCTCAATAAGAGGCCCTGTCCACTCTGTGCCTTCAGAAAGCAATTCTGTTAACTCAACGTCAGCAAGGAATACGAACCCAGCCTGGAATAGTGCATGCACCATCACTGTTTGACTTAGGAGGTGCTCACAAAAGCTGACACCAGTTGCAGGCAGCCGCACAGCGTGGCAACGACAACATAGCCAGTGGCTGTGGACACAACCTTTGCTTTGGAATCATTCCAAAACGGAAGGGGCAAGTTATCTGCTTTTGGACTGCCTTGTCTCACCACGAGCAGCAGCAGCGCTATCTCGGCTGCTTGGCTGGGGTGGGTGGGGGTAAAGGACAGTAAAGGAGCCAGCTCGCCAAAGGGTGAGGATGCTCTTTTAAGTTTTGCTGCAGAGGAATATGGTGAGGACTTTTGACATACAGAAAGCAGATGATGAATGTGAATTCACAAATGCTTAGTGCATTAGGAGTGCTGCCAGAAAGCCTGCAGTCACTCTCAAGAGTGGCAATACTCATCGTTCACCACTGCCACTCCACAAGGGCCCTTGCTGCTGTCCCTCATCCAGGTGTACACTAAAGTTCACACTGTTACAATAAATAGAAGGTATAGTTCTGAACAAGATTACATTATGATGCAAAAAAGCAGGACCTGAAATCTATATTAGGCAAACAACAAAGACTGCTTTGCTTCCCTCCATACCATTCTAGACTGCAATTCTGTATTTGTGCCATTAGGTGGCAAGCTTAGTTCATCTGTGTAGAAATGTTTTTTTCATAAGAGAACATAGAAATGTTAGCTGCCAGTAACAATTGCACAAATCATGAATTAAGCAGCATTGATTCATTTAATGTCTTCTTTTTTACTTCTTGTGTTCCATTTCTGAACTTACTGCAGTTTGTAACTATAATTTCCTGGGAATATAGCAACTGTATTGCAATTTATTATCCACACGCCACTGAAAGCGGAATACAAAAAACGCATCTGATAGTTGTGAATTCAATAAAACATGGGAACACTATCAGTGTGAATTGCACCAACATTAAATGTGACTCTGCAGATCAGGACATTGGTGAAGCTGTATGAAACACCAAATAGTTTGTTTTGGACAAATTAGTTCAATTTGTTCGAGAATTACATGCGAGTTGAGACAATTCAAGGTTTAAAACTATTTTAAGAGGTAAAAGCTTACAAGACTAGGATTCTCTGCGACAAAGTCTGCTGGCAATTTGTGCTTAGTTTGGGTCTTCCTGTCTCTTGATATTGAGAGGGCAGTCATGCAGAAATGCAGTAAAATGGAATTTTTGCCACCTCCAAGGAAGAGCTTATTACACCTGAAATGTCAACCTGTCCTTACCTTTTTTTAAAACATAGGATCTGACATGCTTTGTATTCACAGCAGATTTTTCTCGTCTGATTTCAGTTTCCAACATTTGCAGTTTTTGATTTTACTTATTTAGCAATTTGAGCCCTACGTTGTTAGTTACAATGTAACCAGCTGGCTACCTCAGACTACTGGGCCAAACAATTTACAGGACGATAACGCAAATGAAATAGGCATATATGACATTATAATGTGCAGCTGTCCTTTGATCCAACCAAAAGTCGGTCAGTTGATCACCCTCCAGTATTTTGGTTGCAATGTACAAGAGTGTTGTTAGGATATTGGGTTTGTTGACCTAAGTGACTTGTGGCAAGGTTATACAAAACAAGTTCCAATGTGGACCTACCATCTCAAGTTTAGAATTACTACTAGAATGCTTTTGGAGAATCACTAAGTAATTAATAAGCTAATTTATTAAAATAGGTAAAAGATATCTGCACTTGGAGGCTTTAAGATCAGAGTAGTGCCAAAATAATTAAATTAACATCCCAACAGGCGGTGACAGCAACATGAGAATATCACAAATTGATGTCATGAGTTAACTTCCCCCTTGTTTTTTTCAGCAATTCTGGTGACTCTAATAGCTTCTTTAGAACTTCTCACTACACCTACAGTTATTTAATTATTTATTCCTGAGCTGTTCACTTTGGTAGGGTTTAACCAAAGTCACATTATCTGTTTTATGCAATGTATTATATATGGTTCAATGAAACCGCAGTTGAGGTTTATTTTGGTAAGATGCCAGCCGGCAATTGCCCCAGGAATTCAATATACCATCAACAAATGGCATAAACTCAAACTTAACTACCAGCCAATTCATTTTCCATGGTTAACTACTGACTGAGCTAGACATCTCTTAAGTTATACAGCTACCAGTAATAAAAACATGAAAGTGCTGCAGAAACTCAGCAGGTCTAGCAGCATCTGTGGTGAGCAAGAAACTGAGTTAATGTTTCAAGTCTGAATGACTCTTCTTTGCCAGCAATGTCTGGTTGAGCAGGATTAGAATATTTTGTGTATTGTGTTGTCTTCCACTGTTAGATTGGCTGCTATCCGAACAAGACTTTCAACTGAATGTTTGTTCATTAGCGTTTAAAAACAATTTTAAAAATAGAGTACATTTAGTGAAATGGCAAACTGCTACTTCTCAAACAAAGGCACAGAATGGAGTCAGAGTGCATCAGAGGGCCATCAAGAGCAAACAATATTATTTTAAAATTAGAGCTAGGTCACTCAGAAGTGAAATCACAAAGCGCTTTTAACACAAAAGATAGTAATCATTGAGTCATACAGCACTTCGGTCCAACTCGTCCACGTCGATCAGACCTTCCAATCTGACCTAGTCCCATTTGGCCCATATTCCTGTAAACCCTTCCTATTCATATACCCATCCAGATGCCTTTTAAATGTTGTCATTGTACCAGCCTCCACCACCTCCTCTGGCAGCTCATTCCATGCATGCACCACCCTCTGTGTGAAAAAGTCACCCCTTCAGCCCTTTTTAAATCTTTCCCCTCTCACCTTAAAATCCTTTGCCTTCTAGTTTTGAACTCTCCTACCCTAGGCAAAAAATGACCTTGGCTATTCACACTATCCATGCCCCTCATGATTTTATAAACGTCTGTAAGGTCACTGAGGTAGTGGACAGGGGAATGTCGATGGATGTTGTTTACATGGTCTTCCAGAAGACACTTGAAAAAGACCTACGTGAGAGACTGTTAACTAAGATGGAGGCCCAAACAATCGAGGACAAATTACTGAATGGCTGGGAAATTGGTTGAGTGGCAGATGATAAAAAGTAGAGACAATGGGTAAGTACTGAAATTAGCAGGATGTGACCAGTGATGTCTCACAAGGATCTGTGTTATGATTGCATTTATTCACATTATTTATTAATAACTTAGATAATGGCATCAAAAGTCATATATCCAAATTTGCTGATGACACAAAGTTAGGCAGCACTTTAGACAGTAAAGATGACAGCATAAAATTACAAAGGAAAATGAATAGACTAGATGAATGGGTAAGACAGATGGAGCTCAATTTAAGCAAGTGTGAGGTTGTCCACTTTGGACTGAAAAAGGATAGACCGGGGTACTTTCTAGATGGTATGAAGTTAAATACAGTGGATGTCCAAAGAGCTAATGGGGTTCAGGTGTACAGATCTTTAAAATGCCACAAACAGATGCAGCAAATAATCAACAAAATCAATGGAATGCTGGCCTTTATATCTAGGGGATTGGATAAGGATACAGTAGTTATGTTGCACTTATACAAAATCCTGGTTAGTCCCCATGGAGCACTGTGAGCGGATCTGGGCACTACACCTTTGGAAGGATATTTTGGCCTTAGGAGTACAACATAGGTTTACAACGACACCTGGACTTCAGGATTTAAGTTATGAGGACAGATTATATAAATTGGGCCTGTTTTCTCCAGAATTTAGAAGGTTAAGGGGTGATCTGCTCAAAGTCTTCAAGATATTAACAGGAAAAGACAGGATAGATAGAGATAAATTATTTCCAATGGTTGGGTGTTTTAGAACTGGGCCGCATAGTCTGACAATTAGGGACAGACCATCTGGAGAGATGTTAGGAAGCACTTATACATACACAAAGGGTGATGGGATGTTTGGAACTCTCTTCCATAAACAGCAGTGGACGCTAGAGAGTTTGTTAATTTTTAATCCGTGGCAGATAAATTTTTGTTCAGCAAAGGTATTAAAGGGACATGGTCCAAAGTTCCTAAATAGAAGTCAAATGAAGACTACTGTCAGTTTCTAGAAAACATGACTCTTCCCTTATATGTACAAAGCCTTCTTATTCTTCACAAGATACAATACACTTTCCTTAAACTAAACATTAAATGAAATATTTACCAGATCTCCTTATTCGATTGTGCAGCATGCAACTTCTTCCCTTGAGCTGATTCTAATTTCTCTCTTAACATTTGGCATAGACAGTACTTAGTATTTGAGTAATGACTGTCATATTTAATTGCCTGGAGAACAGAGAAAACATAGCAACATCAATCCTTCTCTGAAACAGTGCCTGTGGATTTACAAATCTCTATCCACTGTTTCATAGTGTGGCACAAATTATGCACAATTAATAGCAATATTTATATCATTAATATAACAGAAATCTATAAAGCATTAAGTAAATTCACCTAATAATTGGACTAAAAATTTTCTCTCCTTTTATGGCTTTTTGTTAATTGGTGTGTGCTGTTTTCCATGAGACTGGCCAATTTGCATGGTGGGCAGGTCTTGGATTAAAACCTGGATTCCTATGTGAAGGACCTACAAACCACTGAGCCACTGCAGGTGGGTTTCATCCTTTTGAGGTGTTCTGTCACTTTCACTATCCTTCATTCTCCCAGCCGTTTGGATGCTGGGAGAATGAAGGATGTGTAGATAGTGATTGGCCATCCAGTTGTAAATAGTTCTAATAGGGACAAGTTCACAAAATATAATACTTTAACATTTAGACACTTCTTCTAAGAAAACATTTACCAACAATTTAAGACATTTTTGATAAGAGACACAGCTTTTGTTGACCTTGAGAATTATACTGAGCTTTTTGTCTCTTTAACTTGAACTTTTCTGGTGAGTGCAGTTACATAGACAGTCACGGGTTGGAAATTTTTCTGGCCGCTAAGGTGGTTTCATGCATGGTATTGTTTCCATCAGACTTTGTTGGTGGCATCACGGCCAACTTTGCCTTGACTTACAATTTCAAAAAGCTAAACATTAAGGCAAAAAGAGACAGATAATAAATTTGTCAAGGGGGAAAAAAAAAATCTTTAACCCTACAGCTCTTGGGAGTCTTTCCCTTATGTGGTCACTTGTTTGTGGATTCACAGGAGATACACTGAACATTGAATTATAAACAATTAGAATGGTGCCAAATAGAAAGCAGACAAAATGATTGTTCTCTTGTGAGTATATGTTCTCCAGGTGTTTCCTTTTAAAATCACTTTATTCAACAGTTCACATTAACTATGTTAAATTGTCTGAAAGGCAGTGACACCTAAAATTACTCACATATGTTAGATATTCCTTTAAAACAGTCTCTGTCGGTAACAATCCTTCTTTTCGGAAGATGGAAGGGTTCCACATGGCAGCACGGGCTACCATGACTGAAGATGCATTTGTTACCCGTTGAAATTCTTCAATGCCCGAATATTCTTTGATGATCTCCTGAGATCCTCCGCTGAGGTGGACAGTAAATTGATTGTAAATTGATCATAACTGCAGTGATAACAGAACACACAAAACATACAGTACAGCAAAACAAATCAAACAGACTACTTGACTACTGGAATATTTTGGAACTGAGATAACATAGCATTGACCCTTGGACAAACCACTCGTGGCCGACTGGAACACACTCAGATTTTTTTTATAACAGTTATGTGCAATCCTTTGAAACAGATTTTTAAGCTATAACTTTTAGCTGTGCAGACGGGCAGCACATTGGCTCAGTGCTGCTTCACAGCACCAGGGACCCAGGTTCGATTCTAGCCTCAGGCGGCTGTCTGCGTGCAGTTTGCACATTCTCCCCGTGTCTCTGTCCGTTTCCTCCAGGTGCAAAGATGTGCAGGTTAGGTGGACTGGGGACATGGGAAATTGCCCGTAGTGTCCAGGGATGTGCAGGTTAGGCGAATTGGCCATGGGAAATTGCCCATAGGTTAGGTGGATTAGCCATGGAAAATGCAGTGTTACATGATTAGGTAAGGGGGTAGATCTAGATGGGATGCTCTTTTGAGGGTCAGTGTGGACTCGATAGGCCAAAAGACCTGTTTCCACAGTGTAGGGATTCTACTCTATGAGTAGATGCATAAAGTTCTTGGAAATTAGATGAACATTAATAGCAAAATTAATTTAATTCATGATCCCTTTTAACTTCTCCAGCCTTGCTCAATCCTTCACAGTAGCACCATAATTGGCTTCTGCAGCCTGGATTTGTAGATAGCAGGAATGTTTCCGTTTAGCATCTGATCATTCTCCTATTTTAGAAGAAGGACAATCACTAGGGCAGGGTAGTAGAAGGTGAAAATCCTCCTTGAGGTCATTTAGATGAGAATTGCTGGAGTAAGAAAGCCACACAGGATATTCTCATGCGGTAGAGAGTGGAGCTTCTGAAAAACTGGAGGCAAAACATTTATACAGACAGGAACATCTAATTGATGAGGACAATTGCTGAGAGTTTAATTAAAAAATCCACTCCACAATTCAGTGGCATGGCAAGTAAGGAGCTAAAGACATACCTAGACATGATGTTATTTTACAGCTAGTCACTGACCTGAAATGCTGGCATTACAATCTGATGAGCGTATTGCTTTTTTGAAAATTATCACAAAAACAAATGTAATAAAGATTAAGCAACTTCAGATTTCTGAGCAAAATACCCAAAGAACTGCAGATGTTGTAAATCAGAAGCAAAAACAGAAGTTGCTGGAAAAGCTCAGCAGGTTTAGCAGCATCTGTGAAGAGAAATCACAGTTAATGTTTTGGGTCTAGTGACCCTTCTTCCATACTGTTCAGCGTTCTGAAGGGTCACTCGACCCAAAATGTTAACTCTGCTTTCTCTCCACAGATGCTGCGAGACTTGCTGAGCTTTTCCAGAACTTCTGTTGTTTCAGGTTTCTGAGATAGTACAAGGTGTGCGCAGCAATGGAACGGGACCTTTCTTAAAAAAAAATATCCTTTTCTCCTTCCATTTCTCAGTACTCACTACACTAGCTATCATTTTGGTAAACTGCAGAAACTAAAGGAAAAATGCCAATATTCTTTGAAGCTCTCTTGCTAAGAGGTTTGCTTCAAAATAACCCAGGTTTGGTTGCAGGTTTCAGCAGTGATGCAATAGAAGATATATCCTCCTATGACCATATGGTAAAATGTACGTTTTCAGTAAAAGGAAGGAAGAAAACAAAAAGAGGTCTGTTTCATTCTTCAAATCGTTTGAACACTTTTTCATTTATAGTGGGTTTGTGAAACCAGCGAGCTAGAAAACAATTAACTATGAAAATATACATGTTGAATTTTATTAAGATAATTATGAAGAGGCAATAATTGGCCTAAATGTTGCTACAAGGATCTTAAGCTCAGTATGTTTTGGCCTGTAAGTTGCCTCAAGGGTTAACTGATAGCAGAGCATCTCCTGCTGTAAGCAAGGAGATTCAAGGTTTGGTATTGGAACAGAGGGCAATGCAGGATAAGGGTAAGTTAGGTACAGAAAGACAAATAATGAAGGATACACAAAGAATAACAGAACTGGAAAGGAATTACAGCCCTTAGGTTGACTGATACTATACTTTATTAATGATTATCATTAAATAATAAACCAAAGAACTGCAGATGCTGGAAATCAGAAACAAAAACAGAAAATGCTGGAAAAGCTCAGTAAGTTTGGCTGCATCTGTGGAGTGTTCTGAAGAATGGTCACTGGACACAAAATGTTAATTCTGCTTTCTCTCCATAGGTGCTGCCAGACCTGCTGAGTTTTTTCCAGAAATTTCTGTTTTTGCTAACAATTAGTGTGTTGTTAAAGAAGTAGTTGTTAAGTTCCAACTCTGAACTGTAACTGATTTTAGGAACCATATAATACTCCCAGCTTTGAATCCCTAGAATTAGCTGAAATTTGGCAATGGATACAGATTTTATGTTTGTCAATATTACTGCATCATACAGCACTGGATGCTTTGTTTCGTCTAACAGAATCTAAACTTGAGAAGATGAAAGAAAACTCATTACTCAGGAGTTAAGAAAAAGAATTAAATAAAACTGCAGTACTTCTATCTGAATGTGGGAGTAAAATATGAATTTCTCCAGACCATATTATTTGTTGTGTTATGATAATAAAGTTTGAACAGAAATCAGAATGAGAGTTATCTACAAACACTGAAATAATTAACATCAAATCATATTAAATATGTTAAGATACATGTAAAGCTGTCTTTAATATGGTGTTACAATGAGAGATTGCTGGGGCTTATTGACACGTGTGTCAACATAGACCTCCCAGCTATTGAATCCCTAGAATTAGCTGAAACTTGGCAATGGATACAGATTTTATGTTTGTCAATATTACTACATCGTATAGCACTGGATGATATTGTAGTGTAATGGGCAATATCTGACTTATGATAACCAATTCATCCGGGTCTTTTTTGGATTCAGGGTTACCCATCAGCTGAACGTGTGTTATGTTGAAATATAGATTTTAGGCCTTGGAAAGTGTTGGGCCAAAATCTGTAATCTTGTGATTTATTAATCAAAACAGAAAACTTTTTTTTTTAAAACTTCAATTTAAATAGTTATTAATAACAATTAGTAAACAGCAAAATAGCTCAGCTACTGATTCTGAAAATATTTACTGAAATACAAGGTCACTTGCTGGGACTAGACTTGAGTATTACTCAAAAAAGACACCTTTTTAAAATAAAAATCATTCATGGGGTGTGGGCGTCATTGGCTGAGCCAGCATTTATTGCCCATCCTTAGTTTCCCTTAGCAAGGTAGTGTAGTGCTGCTTTCTTGAACCAATGCAGTCCACTTGGTGCAGATGATTTTGACCCATTTACAGTGAAAGAACGGCAATATGTTTACAAGTCAGGATGGTGTGTAGCTTGGAGGGGAACTTGCAGGTGGTGGTATTAATATGTATCTGCTTCCCCTGTCCTTCTAGATGGTAGCATTTGTGGGTTGGAAGTGCTGCCTAAGAAGCCTTGGTGAATTTTTACACTGCATCTGGTAGGTGGTACACACTACTGTGACTGTGCGTCAGTGGTGGAGGGAGTGAATGTTTATGGGTATGTAGTTCCAGTTAAACAGAGTTTCCTAGATGGAGTTAAGCTTAAGCAGTGTTGGAGTTATACTCATTCAGGTAAGTGTGGAGTATTTCATCATACCCTTGACTAATGTTTTGCAGACGTAGACAGCAGCTAGTTACTCGCTTCAGGATTTCTAGACGTTGACCTGCAGAAAGCTCTTGTCACATCTTTTCATCCTGTACTCATTTGGATAATTAACAAGTGTTACTAAACGGAAAACAACACCATATTGTATGGCAGGAGAGTGCTGATCGGCTGGCAAGTGAAATTTGATTGGTTGTGGTATTTTCATAGAGAATGTACCAGTTAGTGATGAGAGACAGTCAATTGCTGTGCCTTTTAAATAAAAATTAAAAAGGTTGACTCTGATCGGTCAAGGCATTACAATGTGAAATGACTCAGAATTGCTGTCACCTATTTTACTGAATAAAAACAGGTGCAGAGTGTGTGCACATGTTCTTCCTGTCTGCAAAGAGGGCTGTGTGTGTTACAATATGTTGCTTTCAGTACATGCAAGTGCACTGCATAATAAACTCGATTAGCAATTTTAATTCGATTGTCAGCATAATTCTTTGTGCACTTAGGATTATTCAGCAAATATTGTCCAAAGAATCAGAACTACCCAATATACTTTTCTATTGGACTGGCATTTAAATGGCTGGTTCTTCCAATACTGCATGTGTTTTGAAAACTATAAATAGTCCTGAAATGCCTGTGGATCTAGCTTTGTGCATTAGTGGACTGTTTTATTTTACTTACTTTGCTATTACAGGGATAGACACAGCTTCAGAGATTGCTTTAATTACATCGCAGTGCACAGGGTGTTGTGGCCTTTCCTCTTTTCTTCTGTGGAAAAGATATTTTAGGATAGTACACGATAGGTACAGAAGAAAAAAGCAAAGCATTTCAACATTCAATGTTACAGACACCTCGAGAGTAGGGGCCACTGTCCTTACAAATTCCTCTTCTGTCACTTCTAGCCGTCACTGCTCTGTCACACTCATGGAATTTTGGCCTCTTGTGCATTTCCAATTGTCAGTATTCTACTGTTGATGACACGTCTTCAGGTGCCTAGGCCCTAAAGCACTAGAATTCTTCAAACCCTTCTTTAAAAACTCCCTCAGACCTGTGACCATCTGTCCTAATACCTCCTATGTGGCTCCGTGTCAAATTTTGTTTGCTAACAATCCTGTGAAGAATGACATTTTATTATTGAAAATATTTGTTATTATTCAAGGTGCAGTGATGCAGTATGCAGCTTTACCGATTAAGCCAACAGAGGAACTCAAAATTACATTGTGATCTGATGGTGGGCAGACTGCGAATTCTACATATCATTTAAAACTGACCAAGTTGATACTTTTTGTAGAATACAACACAGCATAGCTAGAACAGTCAGGGTGAAACATCGCAAAACACATCTTTAGAACATTATCTTCAATTTTTCTTCAGAATTCCAGACCGTTATAACTTAACCATTGATCACAGCTCCCTTCTCACTAGCAGACCACGAAATGCCAACACTATAAAGATCACAGAGGCTCAAGAAAACTCCGCTCCTCAGCTCAACAAGTAGTGACATATAAATTTGAATTGCCCATACCCCAAGAACAAATTAAACAGGAATCTTCCATTGGGCCGCAAAGAGCTGAACAGGAAAAAAAAACTATTTCTACTGATTGGCAAGTCATAAACAAGACAACGAATAGTGGATGTAGAAAGGGCAGGAGAAATTGTTTAACCTAGTGTTTCTGCAGGATTGAATGCTTTTCCATAAAGAGTAATTAAAGAAGAGAGACAGTTGTAGCAATTAAATGAGAAGTGTATAAATGTTCAAAGTAAAGGACAAGGACAGGGGGAAGGCAGCACAAAGGGATTCATTGGGTTGTTTTAGCAAAGATGCAGCACAGACAGAAAGGACCAAACTGCAGTGAAACCTCTACAATTCTGAACACTGGCAAGGAAAGATTGGTGCAAGTAATAAAAGAGATCCCACCATGTAAAAGTTTGAATGATCTTCATTGCCACAGCACGGACAAATATTCTTTGGAAAACTAATGCTAAACAATGAAGGAACATACAATAGAAAAATCAGACTGTCAGGCTTAACTATCAAGGACTGTTTTGAAGTGGAGCCAATTGTAATTTCCATCACACTTCACATATACCAATTTATCGTCAATTAGAGAGAGTGATAAATGTAACAGAATCTCCTACCATCACAAATCTGCTAAGTCAGCAGCATCATGTGGAAGCTCTAATTCCAAACTGAGACTATCACAACAGACCTGATGGAACAAATATAACATGATGTTTTGAATTAAACATTGGATGATTTGTACAAAGTGCCTCAGTCACAGTGTTCTTTGTGAAGCACCAGGAATGCCAAACAGACCATATTCCAATCGATTGCGATCTCACAAACCAGATCTACAAGCATGGCCTACTTGCTGAGTAATGTCGATGGGGAATCTTCTTCAAAAGCTCCAGTCAGCACTGAGCCAGACTCAGTTGTGCCATCCGCTAGAAAGGGCAGCAATACCTTTATGCATCCATGGGGCGGCACCTGTTAGACATGATCTCAAACCTAGCTCCAATGCTGACTCTCTGGGATAGAACTGTGGAACGGTAAAAGGGGAAAGTTCTGAAGAGCTTGCCCCAAAGTACCACCAACGTCAATTCAATATCCATTAAACAAAGGGCTCAGATGCTGGCCTGCTCCGTCACTTGCCGGCAAATTGTGCCTTTCCTTGCCATTCAACTTTGTCGCTTGATAGCCTTCTCCCTCTCTTTAACCTGGGCCAAGGGCTGATAAGAAGCTGAAAAGCCTTTTGAATTATTACAACCTTTCAAAAGATCTTGATCCCTGTTCCATTTCCTTTTAATTATTTGCATCCTCTTGAACTTTATATTTGCTATTGTTTTCTAGAAACATGTCTCACAGGCTGCATTTTGATCTGTGAGTAATTACACAAAAGAGTGGACCCAGTCAGCGTGTGCAGCAACCCTGGTCTTGTAGGGTAACGGAAGGCAAAGCTGCCTCGGAACCAGAGCTTCAGGTTCAAACCCAACCTCATGCCTTGATGGCAAGGCGGATGCTTTCATATTGGACCAAACATGATCGGAAGAAAGTTGAAGCCTCGACCAGCACTATCCGTAACTCTAGACTACATCTCGTCTGTAAAATGTACACAATGCCACAGCAACTTGGACTCCAGATAGTAGTGTGTGGTAACACATGACAGGGAATCTGCATTTAACACTGTCCCTTTCAGTGTAGTAATGATGTTATCAGAACTAGAAACCTTCAAATTTCCTGTTTATGTTCTTTATGCCTGCACCTTCTGCCATCACCCCCCATGATCCTGTGCAGAAACCCCAGCACCAGAGAGTGCGAGGCACAGAAAGGGCAAGAGTGAGGGAGGGAGATAAAGAGAGAGAGAGAGATAAAGAGAGAGAGAGAGATAGAGACAGAAAAAGAAAAAGTGAGTGCAAAAGAGAGCAAGAGAGAGAGTGCGAGATTCTCACGAAAGAGACAGCAAGCGCGAGAGGGAGCAAATCTGCAGTCAACCAGGAAGGACAGCCCCATGAAGTGTTGAGACTAGCAGAGAGCAGTAAAGAGAGTTGCTACATCACTAGACAACAGTCACAGTGCAGCTAGGGACAAGCAACTGTCTCAGCAGGTGGATAGAGCTCAGTGAGCAAAGACCCTCAGTCCCTTAGTGCAGACCCTGAGCAGCAGCCTCCAGGCTGCACTCTCTGAGGATCCAACTACAGGAGAGATTGGAAGTTGCAAATTAAATTTAAAGTACAGTTGGTACCATATCTCAACTTAGAGGGTAAAGATTAAACATTTCCAATTCTATGCCTGCTGAGGAAGGCCTTAAGGAACCTAACTCCAGTTTTAACACTTGATTCCTGTGGGAATCAATGCTTCACATAAAGTTGTGATTTTCAGTAACTTTAAGTGAGGAGACCCTGTACCACTAACAGAACAGCCTATACTGTGACCGAAAAACTACCTCCAACAGAGCAGCAATACTGCCCGCTTGAGTCCTTACCAAGGATCGGTAGTCATTGCTCATGTGTTGTGACACAATGTCAGCCTAGGTATTAATGCCGTTGACTAGACAACAGGTTGCAAGTACTGCGACTAATCTATGCCAGCAAATATTTCCAATTAGAGATTTTCTCTTTAGAAAAGTCTTGTACATGCCAACTACTGATAAGCAGTGCTCTCAATTATAGGGGCTTTGTTCAGGCAAAATGGGAAACAATTAATTTAATTGGCTCATGAATCAGTAGTTAGATTAGCATAAAATTGTCTAATGTGAAAAGGTCACTAACGCAGACAGTCGTCAGGATTTGCAGTGCCTTAGCACAAAGAACAACGTAAGCAGAATGCAGAATAGCACTTCTAACTCATGTGGATATTTCAAATACTGAGATAAAGTCCTAAAGTTTCCAGCGGAAGCAATGTGCAACCTCTTCAATTCAATATTCAATTTATATAGCATAAAAATACTTATGTTTCTTACAAGAGCCAAGAAAACCTTGGAGTGCAGGTTTATAGTTCCTTGGAAGTGGAGTCCCAGGTAGACCGGATAGTGAAGAAGGCATTTGGTACGCTTGCCGTTATTGGTCAGTGCATTGAGTATAGGAGTTGGGAGGTCATGTTGCAGCTGTACAGGACATTGGTTAGGCCACTTTTGGAATACTGCATGCAGTTCTGGTCTTCCTGCTATTGGAAGTATGTTGTGAGCTTTGAAAGAGTTCAGAAAAGATCTACAAGGATATTGCCAGGGCTGGAGGGTTTGAGTCATAGGGAGAGGTTGAATAGGCTGGGGCTATTTTCCCTAGAGTATCAGAGGCTGAGGGGTGACCTTAAAAGAGGTTTATAAAATCATGAAGGGTATGGAGAAAGCAAACAGAGAAGGGGAGTCCAAAACTAGAGGGCATAGGTTTAAGGTGAGAGGGGAAAGATTTAAAAGGGACCTAAGGGGCAACTTTTTCATGCAGAGGGTGGTGCATGTATGGAATGAGCTGCCAGAGGAAGTGGTAGAGACTGGTACAAATATCATTTAAAAGGCATCTGGATGAGTGTATGAATAGGAAGGGTTTAGAGGGATATGAGCCAAAAGCTGGCAAATGGGACTAGATTTATTTAGGCTATCTGGTCGGCATGGACGGGTTGGACCCAATGGTATGTTTCCGTGCTGTATACCTCTATGACTCTAAATATTAAAATGCTAAATTTGATGCTGATGGCTCTCTAATGTCCACCTGATCAAACACCAATAGAACTTCAGTTTACAGTTTCAACCAAAAGGCAACATATTCCACATTGCAGCACTCCCTCAATGTTAAAATGAACTGCCAGTCCAAATTATGTATTCAAATCCTGAAGTAGAGCCTGAACTCGTGATCAAGTAATCTCAGAGCTGCAGGTAAACCGAGTTGATACCCGAATATTGAGGAACGACTTCACTATATTTTCAGATAAGGACGCTCTACCATACCAGCTTCGTTCTTTTCTATTTCCCTAATTCAGTTTTTTTCCTTATGGAACTGGTGTCAGGTGAAATGACATTAAAGCACATTATTAACATTGTTAAAGCTGCAGAATTCCATTCTGGAATGAACTAAATACGGGTTCTATAAGCCATCTGCTCAAACATCTCAGGTGGTCTCAGGCTGTCAATCCATTTCACTCAATTCCTATAACTCAGTTTACTCAGGAAACCACAGAAGAATGTCCAGATTTTGCTTTTACCTTCCGTGTACTGCTACAGCTGCAACCCCTGTTTTTTCAATGCGTTTTACAAGGTTAATGGTGTCTTCTAGCTGCAATTAAAAACAACTATTAAAGAAATAAGCATGAGGTCCGGGGGTGAGTATCAGTTTTATATTCTACTGCTTAATTTGACGAATGACACTTTAAACAATGAGTGTTACCACAAACATTTAAATGTTAACCCAATGGCCGTAGAATTTTAAATAGCAATGTTTGGTGCTTATTGATGGAATATCTGCTGCTGCCATTGCTTATAAATAAAAACAAAGCGCTGGAGAAACTCAGCAAGTTTAGTACATTTATTCTGAGAGAAACAAAGTTAACATTTTGAGTCCAACATGGCTCTTTTGACATTGTTTAGCCGGGTTACTGAGGTAATAGTGGGAGATAGTTGAAGAGCGTTTCCTTTACACTATACTCATAGGCCCAGCTTCCTAGGATCATCCTGAGGATGTTCCCAAAGGAGAACAACAACATTTACTGATTAAAAACATTCAGCAGCTGGTTAGAAAATGGCAGCTTAGGAAGTGGTTCTGATCAAACACTCACTGGGACTATCTGTTGCTGAGTTTATTTCTAATTTCCTTTCTGGTGTATCTAAAGAAAATGTAGGTATCATAATCGGAGAGATAGTTATAACATGAACACTAAATGATGATCATACTGGTACATTCTTCACGGTTATAGTACCAGAGTGAAAAGCATCTTTTAATGAAACTGTAGACATTTCAAAGTTAGCGATACTGGCAGAGCATATACAAAGAGGTACAGGTTAGGTGGATTGGCCATGCTAAATGCAGAGTTACAGGGATTGGCTGGGGGTGTGGTGGGTCTAGGTGGGACGCTCTTCAGACAGTCACTGTGGACTTGATGGGCCAAATGGCCTGCTTCCACACTATGATCTCCTCTACATGCAGCTTTTTTTTGTATTTTGAATACGTTGGGTCAGATTTTCTGAGGACTTGCAACTGGATTGCTACTCTGACCCTTTTTTTGTACAAAACCAGGGAGCTCCTCATTTCTGAGAGGAGATTTCGATGAGGGCTGCTTCAGAAACAAGCAGCCATAGTGGCAGTACGGTCAGGGGAAGGTAAACAAAGCCTCCTTTTCATAGTAGCCAGTTGATGTACTCTCAAATAATTAAATTTCATGCAGAAAATCAGCCAAGGTTGTTATTCTCGATTGTAAACAAGGAAGATTGCTGCACTTTAAAGCACTTGAGCAGGTTCTAAGAGATACAAGGCTGAACTTGAACAGAAGGCTTTAGTTTTGTCATTCTTGGGTGTAGGCCCCACTGGTACGGTTGATATTCATTGCTGATCCATCACTGTTTTTGAAGAGAGGTCGTTCAACCTTCTTCCTGAACCAATGCAGATGAGCAATTTGCTCACCTACTTCAGAAGGCAGCTCAGAGGCAACCATATTGATGCGTGTCAAAGTATATTAATGAAGCATTTGAGTTTTTTTTAAAAAAACACTTCAAAAGCTTTGCCCTCACTTGTACTAATTCCAGCTTTTCTATTTCCTAATTTTCAATAAAGATTTCAACTGAATGGTCGGATTTGAATTCACTTCTTCTGGGTCGCAAGTCCAGTTGCCTGGCCTACCAGACTAGTAACAACTGCATGACTGCAGCTTTTCCATTAGTTGAAAAAAAATGAACATGCCAGTTACTTTAGGTGTTTAGGAAGAAGAGGACGAGAAAACACCGAGATGCTTACAGATGGTAAAATTCGAATTTTACAGGTCACTGGCTTTGAAATTCCTTTGACAAGAGTGGATAAGATCTGAAATTGAAGCAAAAAAGTGTAAAATTAGTAGTTGAATGCCATTAATGATAATTGCATCAAATTTTGATCTGCTCTAGACTCTAAGAGGGCTCAAGTGAATAGCTTTGTGATTCCTGCTAATCAGTACATTTGCTAAAACCAGGCACCAGTAACCATGCTTTTAACTGGCTGCTGGGAGGGAGCGAAATTATTATATCCTAGCACTGTTGTAAGCTAGCTGACACTGGCACAAGCAAACACTAAATTCACCGTCCCACCCCCTTAACACTCACTTTTCAGAAGATTTGCTAATTCATTACAGAGGGTAGTTAAGTCAACCAACTGTTTTGGATCTGAAGGCTGATTTCTTTCACTAAAGGACTCTAATTTATTTAATTAATTGACGAATTTTTCATTAGTTGAGAGCTCCGAATTACTAGCCCAGAACAATTGCTGCACCCACTGTGATGTACCTTTAGCTTCATCAAACCAGATTCAATTCTGACATCCATAATCTTTGGCGGCTCAGAGTACACCCTCTGGTCATTCCCCAAGTCATGCTGAAATCCAAGGGGACTGTCTACCTTTGCAACCACGTCTGGAATCAATGGGTTTGTGCAGAAGTTGTGAAGTTAGCAAAAAGGTCCTTCAGCACCTGCCGCACACTCACTGTGGAACTGTGCAACCGTGCAACCGAAAGGAACTACGGAAAGTACCAAATACTTGTAGAGTCATAGCAAAAGCCAGAAGAAACCAACCAGAAATTAATGTATCATTAGATAGTGATCTCAGTGCTGATAGGGGAATGGGGGAAACATATAGATTGGCAAGGCCAGAAGTACTATACATTCCCTGTTTAAAATCACATAAAGCAAAAAGCTGAAAATCTTGTTTCTGGACCAGTCAACCCTCAGGGTAATTTAAATTAATCTCCAACACAGTGCAACAATTACAAACACTGTTTCTCTCCTAAAGTGAATTCCAGTGACCTGAACCAGCCAATGCTTCAGAACACAAGGTCAAAACATTCACTGCACCAACCCCTGAGGTAAATCAAAGAACCAGCAAAACTAAAGCTTACTTTCAAATCTACGACCCTCTCACATCCATTACCTGGTACGTATCAAGTCAGGTCTGCTATAAAGGTACATATCACACATTAAGAAATCTAGGAATTCACAAAGCAAATTGCACATGGACAACTTTTAAAACTAAGTTAATTTCCACTTTGATTCATTCATTTGAATTCAGGGAACTAAGTTTTGCTTATTATGCATTTGTGTTGAATTTCTGCCATGTGGTAGTTTTAATAATATCTACATACGCCAATAAACAGTCTACATATTTATAACTCTCATTAATTCTCAATCACATTTCTAATCACCATTTTGTAGATAATATGCAGAGAGCTAAACCCACTAAAATCAACAGAATAATACATTTATCCCATGATATGTATAATGAATAAATTTGACAATTGTTAACATTATTCACAAACGTTAACAGCTTAAAACATCCACATATAATAAAACTGCCCTTTAACAAATAATGTGGTTTTAATCATAAGTGATATGCAGATGATGGCCAATTAAAGCTTACAGATTTTTGTTGTCACACGAATTATCTGCCTTACTATAAACACACGGGCTACCTTGGGATCAGAGACTAGTAAAGAGTATAATCTTTTACAGCTGGATTGACCAGCTGTTCTAATAGTGATAATAAGACCTGGGCATTTTGGGTCGAGTGCAGTCATCTATCTTCCTTCCTCTGTTAGTCTGGGGGGTTTCCAGCAGTTTGTGGTGAAAGATGAACCAGAAGAGGCACTTAGGTAATAATACAAGATTAAGACAAAGATATCTGATTACATTATACAGCTGGTAACATGAAGCTGTATGTCATGATGTCTCCAATTATGGCTGATATACATTATCTTACACAACACCAGCATTTGACCATTCTACTGAAACTTCAGGAGTCGACAAGCACATGGAATAATGCAGCAATCTATAGGCTGCTGTAATTTAATCAATTGCAATGAATTGATAAGAACTTCCACTCTTACGCTGTTTGTGTCACTGTAAAACAACCTCCAAACGTTTTATTGTATTGAATGTAGCATACGTGGGTTTTAAATGATGTACTCACTTCATAATTACCACTGAACACCTTCATGAGAAGCTAACTTTATATTTGCAGGTTACTAATACAAACAGATCAGCCAGGCTCATATCGAATTACAGTGCAGGCCGGGGTTGGAAGAGGGGCTTTTTTTGTTCCTAATTTGCATGCTCGTATGCACACTACTGTACTCAAGGACTTGAACACAAGCTAGACTGACACTTTGGTGCATCTTCATGGCCAATATTTATCTCACAACCAACTATCAGGCCACATCATGAAGTGAATATTAAAAGTAAGTCAATTGTGAGCACAGTGATTTCGAAAAGAACTGTCTCACAGCGATAATACGAAGGGTTGGCTGTAACTAGACAATAGTGGGACTTCTGCCCTTCAGCAAAAGGGGGTTTGCTGCCCAGAGCCACTAGGCAATCTGATAGTCAGCTAGCAGCTGCAAAGACTGCCCATGCCCCTTTATCTCAAAGCAATATTACATTCAGTACTTGCACCACAGGGAAATCCTTCCATTAAAAAAAAATCACACCGCCCCAAAACAATCAACAGGTCTACTATTTACATCAGCTCCTTCACCTCTAAAACAGGCCACAGGTAGTGGAAGAGGAGGCAACCATTCACCCCCTTAAGCCTGCCATTTGTTTACACAATGGCCTGTCTGCATTTTAACTCCATCTATCTACTTTGGTTCCCTACCCCTCAAAATCCTAACTATTGAAATTGTCAAGAAATGTCACCCTTGATCTGCACACTCTCACCAGAGGGAACAGTTTCTCCATTTTAAGTACTTTAGTTGAAGAATGATACCAATAATATAGTTTTTTAAAGTCTATTGCCTTCAAAGTTCACAGTATAAGGTTTGCATCAGTGTGGTCAGAGGACAGTTTTATCTGTGTGTACCAAGAATCACATAATTTCCTTATAATTATAGAAGTCTTATGAAGTGGAAAACTGGTGAAGCACATTTAAAAAAAATATAAAATGTGAATTCAATGTTGTTCATTGAAGAATAAATGTCTCCGTTATTCTGATATGATTAAGTTGCATTCAGTTTACTTCAGTTGTATACAGGGACTGTGCAAGTTTATGCTCCCAACCCAAACTCTTGTTACATGCTAAAATTGCACAATTGCAGCATTCTTTCATCATGGAAATTTGTAACTTAAGAAGTCCAAATCGTGGTCTGAATGACTTGGGGATTGGTTGGAAGGTATAGTGGTAGTAGAGATAATTCTTGGTTAGCTTGCACGAATCAAAATCACATCACACACATTTCCAGAGAAACACAACTTAGTCACATTGCTCTTTCCCCTCCTGTGCTACATACAGCCCAGGTCACTCATGCTCCCAGATTCTGTGCCTTCCAAACTCCAGAACTGGCTCCTTCAGCATCTCACAGATCTTAGCGGTTGTTCACCGCTCTGACCTGTATTGAACCCAATTAGCCAAGCTCCTAAACTCATGCTCCTCACACAACAAACAATTCCATACATCCAATATTTTGATTTAACCTATTTTTTCCTAACCAATCTGTTCAGAGATGCTATTATATACCTCTGGAGCAGGTGGGACTTGAACCCAGGTCTCTCGGTCCAGGGGTAGGGACACTACCAGTGCACCACAAGAGGGCTCTTTTTCATGATCCATTTATAAACTTGCCAGAGTAAATCACATGACACTACTCATAATGCTTAATTACTTCTTGTTTAAATTACTTTTTGTTTATTCATTCATGGAAATAGGGCATCATTGGCTAGGCCAACATCTGTTGCACGATCCCCAGTTTCCCAGAGGGCAGTTTAAGAGTCAACTACTTTGCTGTGGGTCTGGAGTCACATGTAGGCCAGACCAGGTAACGACTGCAGTTCTTTTCCCTGGAGGGAAGCACAGATGGGTTTTTTCTGACAATGGGCAATAATTTTGTGGTCATATTTAGACTCTTCTCCGTCTTTAGACCTTTAATTCCAGATTTTTATCGAATTCAAATTCCACCATCTGCTGTGGCAGGATTCAAACCCAAGTCCCCAGAACATTAGCTGGGTCTCTGGATTAACAGTCCAGTGATAATACCACTAGACCATTGGCTCCCCTCACTTTCTTACTATTTGTAAGTGTTACAAAGATTTGTAAATATTATTGAATTTACCTTAGTTGGGTGTCTCAATATCAGCAAACCAGATAACATGACTCTGATTTTGGTGAGGAAAATAACATTATTTTAAATAAATGAAAGAACATAAACAAATAGATTTAGGGATAAGTAACTTTTAAATAAATACTACTTCTTTGATGTTTCATAAGGAGAAGCATCAAATTCTGATTCAACAGAAGGATAACCAATGTGAGAACCTCTGACCGAGATTTCATGCAATTTTTTTGACTTTTTATGAAACACAGCAAGTTTTAAAAGAAAATCCAATACCAAACCCAATTCAATTCACCAATTCCTACCCACCAACGTGAAATTCCAGCATCAGAGAGGTAAGGCTCTGTACACAGGAAGACGCAACAGAGATGCCTAATTCCAGTAACAAAACAGCACACATCATAGGCTGATATGAACTCATCCTCCACCAGTTTATACTTCTCTCTCTCTCTCTCACCCTCACCCAAATATGGAGTTTCTTGATCATTTGTATTGATCTCAAGGCTATCATCCTCCCAACTAGCAATGAAGCAGTGAGTTGCTAATAACCAGAGCACCAGCAGAACTCAGACAAGGCAATTTGTAATCTGCGCACTGCACCCACTCAAACCACAAACACAGGGATCCCTCCTTCTGTGCCACCAGCAGCAGCAATGAGGAAGCTAAGTGCCGATGCTGGTAGACTCCACTCCAAACTGGGGGTTGGTGGTGTTGGAAACTCTACCTCTGCTGCCAG